ATATATATATATATCATCTTTGTCATCTTCATTCTACTATCATTCCGCTGTTATGGTATCAGAGCCAAGTTATATTCAGTGGTGAACTGAAAAACTGTGCATATTTAGATTTTTGTCAAAAACCTAAAGTTGCTACGACCCAAAGATTACAGTCAAGCTAGAAGGGCAGAAAAGGTGTAGGGACTGTTTCCAGTTGACTCAGGTTAAGACAAAAATCTAAATGGCAAATTTATTCAGAACATTATCGAATAGAACTGCTTCTGCCAGTACACTACGTGTTAATAATAACGAAGAAGTAATTATTGATAATATTGAAAAACATATCCAAAATTGAAACATCTCAAAAGCACCTACAACAGATGTTTATAAAAGGCGACTTTTGATTTTAGAAGTAGTTTCTCAATTAAAACTATTGAAAAAAATATTTCTGTCATGGAAACTCAAGATAGTTTCCAACTCCTATCGTCCAGGATGGTTGAAGAACATAAAAAGAAAGACTTCAACTACGTACATATTGGTCTTGTCCAAATAGCCGTTAACCCCTAACAAGGACATGGTTAAATAACTCTGTTTTGCTTTGCTTAAGGAATAACAGGCATAGAAGATTTATCGATTCTTTACTAGGAATTGTCGAGTCAACCCTTTGCAATGGACCTATACATTTTAACTGCTTTCCAAATTTTTTTCTAACCTTATCGGATTCTAATTTATTAAAAGTTCTAACTCTAAACCTTAAAACTCAAAGTTTTGATATGGATTTGGATCTCAAAACTTAGCTTTTGTTTATAAGATCTGTTATAAAGTGATGAACACTTTATGCCCTAATCCTAGGCAAATGGATACTAAGGGACATACTATTTTCTTTCAGACTAATATAGATAAATCTAATTTAGTCATACCAAAGTCTATATCTTTGATACAGGTTAAATTACCAGAAAAATGGTCTCTCTAGTCTGAGACTCAGACCAAGATCCCTAAAAATAGAGAACTTGAACAGACAATCACACTCCGATTATTACTATAGCTATGGGTGTCTTAGGTCCAAGAAGATGATAATAAACTACACCTACTCTCATTTATACTTGTAGTTTATTACAATTTAAACTACAAGTAATGGAGTAAATACACTAATCTATATAATTAAAACTAACATCATTTCGCTACATTTTATTACAGTTAAAACTGATATCATTCCACTTTCAATTTTTTACTGTTGGGATTCCCTATATCTTGTTTATAAGATGTAAGATTCCCTACATCTTGTAGTCCTGGGTTTGATTTCAGTTTTAAATGATAATAAACTGTAGGGAATCTTGCTTTTTTCCAAAAAAGATGTCTGTCCAGACGTAAAAAATCAACATCTTACAAGATGATAGTAGATGTAGT